ACAAAATCAGTTAGTTCTCCTGAGCAAAATGAATGAATATGTGCTGAAATTTAGCCTGACAACTTCTTCCACAACGTCATCCCGCAGTCCTCCAAACTCTGGTCAGCTGGGGTTCCAGCCCGGCAAGCCCCACTGTGCTGCCAGGCTGGGTCGGCGTTACCCGCAAGTATTCAGTTTAGTGCAATGTTGGCCATATTCATCGTAGGGAGTCACCAGCAGAAATGAAGGATACACTAATGTATTGAATGCTTTATTGCCCACCATATTCTTTAACTGATTTGTTTTTCATGTAGACCTGTGCACAGATATATAACACAGACAAGAGATGGCAGAAGCGCACAAAACAAGCAAACGACCAAGGACTTTGGGGGTTGGATTGATCTGTATTTTTGTGCAAATTAAACGCAAATTCGTTTACATTTTTGGAACATGCAAAGCAATAATTTTGCGAATTGCATGCTTTGAGAACCTGCAAAACCACCATATTATCAGCCATGGCTGACAAATGCCTTGCTCTTTTTTTAACCCGCCCTTCGTGGGCACGCGAGCACAAATCTACAGCTCTAATGGGAAGGGGCGACAGAAGACGCCGCGGCTCTATTGGCAAGACACGGCTGGGGACGGGTGTGGTTATGGCGGCTGTGACGTGCATTTGCACGGCAATGGGGTCATGAAGCGCCCTTTATCATGCATCACGAGACCACCTAGCACGACCGGCACGGAGTGCACAACCAAGCCGCATCTGTCGCGAACTGGACGGTTCGGAGCGGGGGACACCCGCCCGAACCTGGCCCGCTGTGAGCCGCCTGCCCCAAATCGCTATAAGTCATGTACGCGCTCCTTCGCCACCCTGGCACGCGAGGGTGCCAGCCCATGGCGCCCCGTGGTCTCCGCGCCCACCGCACGCGCAATACAAAGGAAGCGCACCCACGAACGCGCGAGACATGACGACACGATGGTGGCAGGGGCGGCGAGGGGGCGGGCGGTCACACGCCGCCGGACGATAAGCGCGTCCATTTGGCCGACCCGATGGCCCCGGCACCGCGCTCCGGTGAAAGTCAGACAAAAAACACCGGGCGCAGCGACGGCTGGCGCGCGCCGACGAGCGCGGCGAACAGCGCAGACGGGAGCGGAGAACCGTCCGGACGAGGGCGGAGAACGGTCTGGACGAGGACGGAGAATGGTCCAGAGGAGGACGGAGTGTTAACAGCCAGATGGAAGCGGAGAACGGCCAGACGACGGCGGCGAATGGTCCACACGAGCGCGACGAACAGCGCAGACAGGGGCGGAGAACGGACCAGATGAGGGCGGAGAACGGTCCAGATGAGGGTGGAGAATGGTCCAGACGGGGCGGAGAACGGTCCAGATGAAGGCGGAGGACGGTTCAGATGAGGGCGGAGAATGGTCCAGACGAGGACGGAGAATGGCCCAGACAGGGGCGGAGAACGGCCAAGACGAGAGCGGAAAACGGCCCAGGTGGAGCAGAAAACGGTTCATACGGGGCTGGGGGAGCTGAAAACGGCCCAGACGGGAGCGGAGAACGGTTCAGCTGAGGGTGGAGAATGGTCCAGACGGGGGCGGAGAACGGTCCAGATGAGGGTGGAGAATGGTCCACACAGGAGCGGAGAACGGTCCAGACGGGGAAGGAGTGCGTGCTGGCCGGGTCCCGCGGGTGGTGGGCGAAGAGACTGCCGTCTGTCTTGTGGAAGAGCCGGTTGGAATAGCATAGGTTTGCTTGGCACGGACCCCCACACCCATTGGCCCACCCCATTCTCAAGCGCCAATAAAACTTGGTTCATTTTATGATGCATGCCATGTGACCACTATGGGCTAATCCCACATATCCAATGCCTATTGTAGCGGAGAAAACCGAAGCATTCCTAAGCCTATCGCAGTGAAGAAAACCGAAGCCTTTCTAAGCCTATCGCAGAGGAGAAAACCGAATCACAGCTAGCTGCAAGTGCGAAACCCATAAAACACGCCGCCGCAAGTCGGCGCGCCTCGCCATTTTCACCAGTACGGCCCAACCGTGACGTTCCTCCCATACGTCACTGAACGGTCATGCGAGGCTCAGCGCCGTATACACGCCACGAGCCCTCGGAGGGCGTCGCTGGCCCACTTTAATACGGGGCGTCGCTAGCCCACTTTGCCGTCGCCATTGGGGCCTAAGGACACATTGAAGGGAGCCCTACTCGGCCAAGGAGCCATTTTCAAGAGAGACGAGTCGGCCCGTCAGAAGCAGACGACACCGAAACTCGTCAATCGTCCGCGAACCTACCGACCGAAAACACGTCAAGCGCGCGCCCGAGAGCGCCGGGCATCCTTTGGAGCCTTCTAAATTAGCTATGAAAACGGGCCAGGCTTGCCAGATGGCTAATTAATGGATCCCGGGGTGAAAGTCGTGCACACCTGCGCCAAGCGTCCGGCTGATCGCGCTGGCGCCGACGGCCGCGATGTGGCGCCCCGGCCAGCCGCTCGATCACCAGGCCAGCGGGCCGCGCGGCAGCTCTGGCGCGGACCGACAAAAACCGCGCGCCGTCTGTCTCCCAGCTCCGAGCCGCCCGGCCCGAGCCGGACCGGGATGACGGGCGATACTAACGGAGCAGATTCTCCTACCGCCTCAGCCGGCCGGGCTGCGGCGGCATTCAAGGCGGCCGGGCGAAGGGTGTGACGTCACGGAGCGACCGGCGAGACGAGCCAATCACCGCCCGCATTTTCTGCGTGCCGGCAGCCGACCGGCAGACGACAGACGCAGACGTGGTCCCACGCAAATGAGCAGCCTCACGGCGGAGCGTCGTGTGACGCGATCATCGTGCAGGGCGCGGTTACTGGATCTACAGGGCACATTCCGCTGACCGCCTGGGCGGGATGTGCGAGTTAACGGGTGGCGAGGCGACAGACAGCCGGCTCAGGCTGGGGCGACCGGGTGGGCGGGGAGGGGCAAGCTGCAATGACGGCGGAACAATGATGGTGCAAAGGTTAAAAACCCGACCTGAATAATGAGCACCGATCCTGCGCCTGAATAATGCCAGCTTTTAACAGTAGGCACTTTAATAAGGTGTCCAGGCTCAGATAAGCAGGCCCCCCGCAAGCGGCTTTCGCCCGTACTCTCAAAATAGTTGAAAAAAAAACTGAAGAAGGCGCATATCCTTCGTCCAATTTCTGCGTTGTCAGATAGTGCCATATTTTACGTTTGGACGCTGTGATACTGATCTGCCCTGCCCTCTCAAGGGCTCGGCAAGATACTTTGAAAACCTCCCCGCTAAAAAAGAAAAAACTTGAAAACCTAAAATGTACTTCTTTTCATAAAAATACCTGCTCCTTTTACGAGTCCTTGATACGCTGCCAGCCGCGCTCTATAGCGCTGTCGAGTGCTGAGAAACGGTACCGACCCGCCGCGACGCCTGCCTGACGGCGTGCTCGCCTGAGGGCGACTAGTGACCCCAGAGGTCACCAGATGTAACAGCACAATTTACAGCCGCGGGACACGCCACATAAACCAGCTCCTGATTTGGGAGAGAGCTGACAGCGAGAGTCGAGAGCAGATCGCAGCCAAGTTAATAAAAACCAGCCTCGGTAAACAAGCATTACTCAACCCGAACACGGATGGGCTCCGGTTCATTTGGCCGAGCGCTGGCAGAAAACGTCGCTGAAATTAATAACCGCAACAAAACGCACAGAAAAACGGCGACAGCGTCAGTCCGGAGGCATGCGGGCCGCGAGACGCAGTGCCAGGGTGTCCCGTCCCAGGCCCGGCGGCGGTGGCGGGCTTTCATTGGTTTTCGGTCGGCAGCCGGTGACCACTCGCCCCAGCTACCCGGCCGTCGCAAAGTCGAGGCCACCAAATGACAACGGCGCCGCGAAGCCGCAGGTTAGCCCGGCGGGGAGGAGCGCAACGAGTCCCGGCCGCGGCGGTGCAGAGTGGTTGGGGTGGGGTTGGGGGGAGTTGTTAACCACAGCAGCGGCTTGTTATACGTATATCGATGATCGGCACGCGAGGATAGAAAGGTCCATTGATTCCGATCATTATCATCGAAGCCCCGGTTTTCGACAGAGATATTCTTTGTGTTGATAGTGTTGGGAACTGGTCTGTGAGTAGTCTGGGAACAAGCACTTTGATACTGAATTAACCTCAATAGAACTTCGGGGCAAAATACATGTCAAACAACTGAAGGTCAGCTGGCCCGCGCCGAACAGCAGCATTTTCAAACCTGACAAATGATCCGCGGTGATAGAGCTAAGTATAAATGTGTGCTATTATCCCATTATCCCCGGGGCGGGCAGTCGAGTTCCGTTTGGCGCCGCGCCAAGGTCCGGGACCTCAGCGACCGCGGGCGGCACCGGCTGCCCTGCACGGCTTCGCAGCCGGCAACGGAGACAGCTCTTTCAAACGGACCATTGGCACGCAAGCGCCGTGAGTTACGGTCTGCAGCGGCAGTGTTCAGTGACGGTTTAGTGACGTAACAGCTATTGGTCTGAAGTGATGCGTCAATAAATACGGTTTGACTGCATAGTAGAAGCACTCTAAGCCAGGGAGCATGGGCCACCGTATCACGTATCCATGCCGACGGCTGCGACAAACGGTCGCGGATCCCTCCCGACGGCCACGACACATGATGAAGTGACCGGGATTGTCAGGTTTCGAACGAAATGACCGGATGCTTGCACCGTAATGACGCTCTGGGGTCAATCTTTTCACGCATGACCACAGGCCTCACGAGATAACATATGCGATTAGCGCCCCCTCCCCCATCAAAGCTGAGCAAAATGTGGTCTCGGCACGCGGCACGTAGCCACCAGCTCGCGGCCATCGCAACGGGCTGGTGCATAGCCATCGCACGCATTGTCACACGGAAGCGCAACAGATCCGTCCCCGCTCGACCCACACACTGCCCGAGCAGGACGGCGGCAGCTGGCTACTCCTGAAGCCCACGCGGGGTGCTCTCGAGCCGTCCGCCAGCGCCCGGCGGGGCGAGCGACCGCCGCGTGCCGTCGCATACAAAGCCAGACACGGCCACAAAAACGCCAGGCCGGCAGACGCATACCTGAGTGGGGGAATCCGTCTTGTGCCGCTTGGCCGGCGGCGACGGCGCGGGCTCCTCGTGCTCGGTGGCCGGCCCGTCCTCCTGGCGTTCACCACCACTCACGCCGTTCTCGCACCTCTCCTGTTTGACGGCGTCCTTGTCACGGCGCTCTTTCTTGTGCACGGCACGTTTGCCCACCACTTTTGCGACCCTGGGCTCGGCCACGCCGGCCACCGCCCCCGCCCCCGCCCCCGCCGCCGTTGCCGCCGCCCGCGCCGCGCTATCCACGTGCACGATCTCGTGCTTGGCCTCGGACGACCGGCCCGGCTTGGAAGTGCGCTTGATCTTCATCTTGAGCCCCTTGTCCATGGAACTGGAGTGCTGCGCGCGCACGCCCATCTTGGCGCCGTCACCGGCCGCCGGCGCCGCCGTCGGCGCGCTGTCGTTGTTGTTCTCGATGTCGGCGTCCAGGTCGATGATGAGGTCGCCGATGCCCACGTCCCACTCGTTGTCGTCGTACTCGAAGTTGGTGACGGGGGCCGCGCCGCCGCCGCCGCCGCCGCCGCCGCCGGCTGCCTCCGCTGACCTCGGGGTTGACCTAGGTTCGGCAGGCGTGCCCTCCTTCATGGTAGATCACCGGCTGCACGCTGCAACATACGAAGGGGCGGCGCGTGACCACAGGACCGCCGTCACGACACGAGCGCACGAGCCGCAACAACGCCGCCGCGCATCTGAACAGAGCCACGGCACCGAAGGCTGCGCTCCATGGAGCCCGAACACATGACCAGCTCCCGTTTACACTCCACAACATGTCTTAACTTCAGCGCAGCAGCGGTGGCGGTGTCAGCCCCCCCCCCCCCCCGGAGCAGCTTGGGAACTGAAACGAGACCCAGCTATCCAGGCTGGCGATATAGCCAAGGAGACGGCTGAGGGGGTGCCCCCCCCCCCCCCCACAGAGGCCTGAAGTGCACAAGATCCTTAGTGCATATGGTGGTGCAAAATAACTAGGCTTAAAATGTTGGCCAAACCTGTGGCCAAGATGTTGCCGGAATTTTGATCCTAGCGAAGACTTTTAGTCCGGCGCTTGGCTTAGGCTGGGTCAGACACACCCTTGCTACTTGTACATGCTTTGCTTGCTCGCACCAGGCAGGCGATGCTTGTTCGGCGCGTAAGCGGGCTTTGTTTCTCATCGAAAAATCAAAGTAAAATGCTACCAAAAAACATCACCAGACACACATGTTATTAAGAAAAAGTTAAGAGTAAATATGGACGGCTGCATAGGTGATTAAGTCCAGTGATAGATTAAGTCCACCGGATAAGTTCGGGCTATCAAATGCCTTCAAAAGAAGCTTCATCACCATCTAAGCTATCAAATACTATCTAAAGATCTAAGGCTATGAAATACCTTTAAAAAAGTACAAAAATGGGCTCTCGTGCTCGGTTCGGCAGTTTCCCAAAGTCCTCAATAAAAGCGTCACCACTGCTCAAGAGCACATAAAACGGCGGCGGAACACCTAAGGGCTAGGCACCGAGCCACATAAGGTGTGCGGCTGGCGTACTGACATGTTTTCGTGAGGAATACCGCAACCGAGCTTGTTTCATGCTAGCACGGCACCGTTACTACCGGATCCGTAAAAGGCGCACAGCAGCTCCGCCGCTCCACCTGCTCAGCCTGCATCAGGCGCGCACCGAAACCGCTTGGACCACGAGTGTATGTGCAACACCAGCAATTACGCCCTTTAAAAACCGGACCGCCGTGGCATATAGCCTGAGTTCATGTGCCTACATCATGCGCCTCGAAAAAAAACATGAGCCGCTGCGTATGTCCACGCTGATACCTTGCACGGAGCCCATTCTGTACACTCCAGTTTCACTCCGCACGTATGTCAGCTGATTCGGACCGTTACACCGTATCACGTCACAGTCCGAGCATTGTACGGCACGGCTGATCAGCGGGAGCGTATCTGGTGCAGGATGACTGGCCGGTCAGCACGTGCCGTCACATGGCGCCATACGTCAACGGTGCTCTTTGCAGCACTAACAATGCCAACACATACCCTCATACCGAGGGATGCGCCGAAAAAGGCTATCACATCATAATCCGAAATGGGCAGAGTGACTAATTTTCCCCAGTTTGGTATGTTTTCATATTCCAGGAATAGGGCATCACAGAAATCCACGCACTATGCTGGCGATGTGTTTGGTTTCACCGGAAGCACAACAGCACCTCCGATGCCGTTCTGTATTGTTGTCACGCCAGTCGACCATGAAAGGCCGCATCTCAGCCGCGATCTGCGGACTTCTCCTCGAACTGTAATGTAATGTAATGGATAACACTCGGAGAAATCGCCGGCTACCACCACTGCCTGCCAAATCGCGATGTCTTCATATCTCTATACCAAATAATAGCGCCTGTTTAGTTCTGACCAACCGGAGACCGGTCCCGTGACTCACTACGTCATCTGGCGTACAGCCATTCGCGGATCGTTGACCCGCCCGACCAACTCAATTCACAATTTTCCGCATCCCTGAGACAACGACGCGCCATGGTTTTATGTCTCTTGGACGGGTCTGCACAACACGGGTGTTTTTAGCGCTTCATAATGCATACCCAGCTCCTCTGCCTACCAGTGATACAGAAGCACAACAGGCATCGTCATTGATCTTACCGCTGTCCCAATGTCTAATGTAACATGATCTTGCAAGCACCACAAATACATTCACGGCACTTATTCCGACTGTCTTGGCACGTATATTTGTCTGGTTTCCGTAAGTTGCGGTGGATTAATTTGCTGTCAAAAATGTGCATGCCACAGCGCGAGACGGAGCGCCGAGGTGTAAAATAAGCCCGAGACATTTAAGCTGACAGACCTGATAATGTCATGGCCATGTCAAGCTCTATTGATGACAATTGAAACCGACCTGTGTCCACATCTGAGAGATGAGGATATGCGGCACCGGCCGATCCGTCTGCCATTCTGTGTCCGTACTCCATGAATACATGAAGATCCACGACCATCGGCCAACTAGCGACCTTTGCCTTACTTGTGCACTGACGAAACCCATTGACGTGAATGTATCGCGCTATGCATCTTGTATCTTATGACCTCTGTATCTTGTATCTTATGACCTCTGCCCTCTGAACACAATTATCAAGAGCCGCCCTTGGCACATCGCCTGTTGAGTAGGCGGCGAACTGAATGCACATAGTGTTCGCACAGCACACAAAAACGGCCCCTGGCCCTCGCAGTGAAGGCCGCGCGCCTTGAACCGTACTTTTCCAGGCAGTGGAGCACGTAATCCATCAACTCCTTCGCATCGCGCTGCCTAATTAGCCGCTCCTTTACATCACTGTCGGATTTCTCCCGTCTTTTGCCGCAGCGAAAAAGCTGCGCTGACTCTCCGGGCACCGCTGCGGGAGCTAGTCGTACCTATCGAGGCGTCGCGCCACGGCCGGCGGCGCCACTCTCGCCGCGTCTGTCGAACGGCGGCGCCCTCCGCCCGACGACAAAAACGACGCACCACCTGCCGGCATCGCGACGAGTCTGTAGCGGCGGCGCGACGGGCCTGTACCGGCGCCCGTCGCCGCGCCGAGAAAAACCGGACAACGGGAGCCGGCGGCGGTGCGCCACCGCACGTGCCCGCCGCGTCACTCGGGCCGATCTCAAGATGGCGCGGTGCGGCCGCGGCCGTGCGGCTCGGCCTCTCCGGTGTCATTATTGACTGGTCGGCGGCCGGGCGTCAGCTGGCTCCGGGGCGCGGCCGCCGCCCGTGCCGGGATGGGCACCGGCCGCCGCCGGCAGCCCGGCCGGAAACGGAGCCCGGTTTAGTTTCGCCGCCCCGCTGCAGGATCTGTAATCTGGCTCGACCAGGCCGGCGCCGGCGTCCGCCAGGATCTGCCGACGACGCTCCCGCCCGGAAAGTGGCAATGGGCCTTACGGGCTGCCACGGCGTCATTCATTCTTTGCTGCGTACTGCCAAGGGCGTTATTTTGTCATTGTTGTGGAAGACGTCACATATACGTAACGGGCTTTAGGTTGGTTGGATGGTGATGGTTATGACCAAAATGTGTCAATTGGGCGACAAAACTGATAGTGCACTTCCTGCAATTTGTTTGGCTGGTGATGCAGGTACGCCGGGCATTTGAGAAAGGTGCAACTTATTATGCATAAACACAAATTCTTGTTTTGCAATACGTGAACTCCAAAAGGTCTTCCCAAAACGGATCGCTGCAAAGCAGTGAGCAGTCACATATGCATCCACGCACAATGCACGCACTGTCCACCCAAATACCTTCGCGCAGTCCATTGAAAAGTCACAAGTTTATTTTAATGAAAGAAACAAACAGCTGACCGCATTAACAACCAGGGGCTGGTTCGCGCGGCGAGTGCGCGGGCGGGCGCCCAGTCCGGAGAGCCGCCACACCCAAATCGCCGGCGTCAGATGACATTATACCTCCACCTGGCGCCAGCGTCGCGCCCGCCGGCTGCTCTTTGAGGTCGTCTGTAAAGCACGTTATCGGCCGGGATAGTGGTCGCCGGCCTCCCGCACCGGGCCAACCAATTAGAGTCGTATTTCACACGGCAGTGGAACAGCCGCCTTCACCAAGCTCATCAAGGCCGGCACGGCGGCCGCCGCCCGATGGCTTCCACAGGCGCATTCGATAGTCGGGCAGCGCGCGCGCGCGGCCGACTCGCCAATCGGGCACCGGAGAAATTCCGACCGGGTTCCGTGCGGCGACGAAATAAAGCTGATGCACACTGATGTATGGCGGATTAGCGTCGGGAAAACAGCGCCCGGCCCGGAGGCAGGCACGTCCCCGGCCGGCGCGGCTGAAATCGGCATAAGGCCGAGGGGATTGAAAGGGAGGGGAGCGGATAAAGTGCGAGGAAGCGACTGACGAGCAATGGAGGAGGGGCGGCAGGGGAAGCGGGAAAGGACAAAAACGTCAGGGTGGGAAGGCTGGCCGCCAGGCCGGTCGCCAGAGAACCCGACGGCACGAACGTCCCCCATGCGGAAATCCCGTCGATAAAGTCGGGCTGCAATTTCAGCGCCATGCCTCCCAGTGCTGCTGACCCCCGCCGTTGAGCCTCTGGGATTCTCCCGACAACAGTGAAGTCAGCCAGATCACCGGCGCAGCCAGCAACGACTTCTGAACAAACGACGTCACGGACCAGCCGTGGCGTCACATGGCCGTCCGTTCTTATCTGGCGCGGCGCGCCGAGCCTCGGATGCCGGCCCGGCAGCGCCCACAGTCAACACGCCCCGAGAGGTTTGGAGATAGGTCAGGGCTTAACCCGGGCTGATCGGCTTCCACTGCGGCCAGGGAACGCCGCGGCTGGGTTGTGCCCGAGGCGGGCCGACCCTCCCCCACGCGGCGTCCCCTCCTGCCGGCGGCGCGCCGGCCGCGCGAGCCCAGATTGTTATCGCTTCGGTGGGGTCAGCGGCGGGCACAAGTGGACGGACGTTCCCGGGCCCGGCTCGGGCCGGCCCGGCCCGGCCCGGCTCAGTTCGGCTCGGCCCGCCTCAGCCCGAGCCCCGCCACGCCGGCGTGGCCGCGCCTGCGGAAAACCGGCGCTAGGCGCGATGATCCGGCATCCCCCGATCGCAGCCGCAGACCACGGGCGAGTCGAACCCCGATCGCAGCCGCCAGACACGGGCGAGTCGAACCCCCCGATCCGGCCCGACACGGGCGAGTCGAACCCCCGATCGCAGCCGCCAGACACGGGCGAGTCGAACCCCCCGACCGCAGCCGCCAGACACGGGCGAGTCGAACCCCGACCGCAGCCGCCAGACCGGGCGAGTCGAACCCCCCGATCGCAGCCGCCAGACACGGGCGAGTCGAACCCCCGATCGCAGCCGCCAGACACGGGCGAGTCGAACCCCCCGATCGCAGCCGCCAGACACGGGCGAGTCGAACCCCGATCGCAGCCGCCAGACACGGGCGAGTCGAACCCCGATCGCAGCCGCCAGACACGGGCGAGTCGAACCCCCCGACCGCAGCCGCCAGACACGGGCGAGTCGAACCCCCCGACCGGCCAGACCCGGGCGATTCGAACCCCGACCGTAACGTTCCTTACGGCAGAGCCGTAACGAACCCCCGTGGGAGACGAACCTCGCGGGGGTCGTCCAGCTCATGTGGTGGCTGCTCCACGGAATGCGCACTGCGAGGAAGCTGCAACCGCATGTATCTGCCCCGAGCCGGTGACCCATGGCAGTACCGCGCGCACGCATCTTGTCGAGAACCAGTTAAGAAGCATGACTCGACCCATGCGTTTGCTGTTGGAGCCGTAGGCCCTGCAGCGGATAGCACGGAACGGCAGGCGGCAGCTGTCGCCGTCTAACGGATCAATCAAGAAAACCAGCAGATCATGAAGGGGAAGGGCATACAGCATGACCTTTCCGGTGGACAATTGTCTGCAGTTGAACGCCTATGACCATCCCACCTGCAAATGTTTGCATAACGATGAATGAGTAATGGTGAGAGGAATATCGTTAGAAAATGTTTCGTACCGGGAGTAAATAAACCAGTTTTAGGGAGCACACTAGCAGTTAGCAAACCACTAGGGCTCCAAAGGCGTGTAAGAGCACCAAACTTCGCGGCCTGCATTCATTGTGGCCCTAAACGGTGCTGCACAGGCGAACTCCAAACCGTCACGACCTAGCATCGGGGCGTCACGAACCTCCATAACAGCCGCCCAACAGACACTGGTGCGAATCGCCCGACAGCGTCACCGGGTGGACCGCTTCACCCGCCGGAACACACCACGCCCAGAACACAGGTCAGAGCACCGACCGCAGAGCACACACGGGACCTCCGGCATTGCCCACCGGCCACGGTAGGCGCCGGGAGCACCGCCGCCTCCGCAGCACCGGTGCTCTCGGAGCTCACGCGCGCGCGGCCCGGTCCGCACCCGGCGGCGCACACTCGCAGCACATGGGGCGCAGCGCCGCCCGGACCTCACCTAGCCGCCGAGCCGTCCACGGCCCTCGGCGTGGTGGCGCTCCACTCCCCCTCGCCACGCACACAACGCTCCGCCGTCCACGCGGCACTGGGCGGCCGCGCGCCGGCAGCCGGCGCCGCGCGCCGAACAAAGAATCCCACGCTTTGCAGCGCCCGGCGCGAGGCTATCGCCCGCCGCCGAGATACGCGTCGGCCGGCCAATCAGCGCGCGGAGTTCCCGATCCTGGCTCGCCCATTGGCGGAACGTGTCGGCGACCGTCACATGGGCGCTAGCCTCTGCCGCGGCGTCGGTGCCTGGCCGCCGCGGCCCAGCGCCGCTGTAAATCGTGATATATTAACGCGACTACACAAACAAATGGTCGGGCGTGGAAGCTGCGCGCCTGTTTGTTCGCAGCCGGACAAGGGGGGGGGGGGGGGGGGCCTGACGGCGCGGGCTCGTAGAGGTTGTGTGGCCGACATCGCAGCATTCGCAGGTAGTTTTCTGCCGCAGAGCCTCTGCGCGTCTCGGCCCGAGAAAATTACATCGGTGCACAGATCTTGGAACCTATTACAACCAGTATCCCTGGTCGAAAGCGGCACCGCTGGCTTGGCACGCCCCTTCCCACCTTTGGTTACGGCCACAACATTGGCCTCCTACCCGACTCGTATTTGAGTTCTCCTGTGACTCCGAATCCGGCCCCGACTCCATCCCACGCTCGTTGGCAAACTCTGATGCTGACTCCGACTCCGACTCCGACCCACATATCAGTTTCGACTATGATTCGACACCGATTTAAGCTCTAACGCCGACCTCGACCCCGACCCCGACCCCGACCCGGCTCGCCTTCAGTTCGGCCTTGTCCGACTCCTCGGCGTCGGCTGTCGGCGCCGAGCTGCAGCCGTGGTTCCGCTGCTCCGTCCCACATCTGGCAGCCGGCGGGACCCTGAGCCGCGCCGTGGCGGGCTGCGCCGACACTCAGCTGACCGCGGCGGGCTGCACCGCCACTCAGAGCCCGTTCTCCATAAGCCAATAGAAGCCCATTCCTTACTTCGCGGTAAGCTCATTCCTTTTATCTATGACGTCACGACTCAAACCCATCCCGAATGCGGCCGGAAGGCGTAGTAAATGCGCTTGTTTACAACTCAGTCGTCGGCACTGACATAGCAACGCATAGCAACGGTCGATGTGCTGTTGACGGTTTATGTGTCCGGCAAACAGACAGGTTACTACCCCATGCGTAAAGTGTGATCGGTAACGATTCATTTAGCTACAGATCACAGGCTTAAATCTGTGATTTGATTCGGTTCGATTCACACCTGTGGACGGCAGGTATTCCGCGGCAGATTTCATTCAATGTGGCAAGTGTGAGGTAATGCATTTGGGTAGTTCATTTTTAGTTCATTAGCATTTGGGTAGTTAATTTTTAGTTCATTAGCGTTTGGGCAGCATTTGGGTAGTTCTGACAGGGAGGGCATTGGCTATAAAATGGGAGGCCGGGAGTTGGACCTGAGCACTGAGGATGGAGGTACTGAAGATCATGAGAGGGTAGACAAGGGAGATCTGTAAGGAACAGTGGAAATTTGGCCGAGAGTTAGAGGAAACCAGTTTTAAAAAACACAAGATGGAGAAGAGCTATGAAGAGGCAGATGTCAGCGAGTTAAGGAGTAGTGAACCGTTGGAATGGACTGTCGCACGGATTGTGACAAGTCCCTCCCCAGCAGCACTTAAAATGTATTTGGATAAGTTCTACTGGTCTAAGGATCTCATTTACAGCCGAATTTAGGCAGGTCAGGTGTAGTATTAGTGTCGAGAAGATGCTTGCAGAACCTGAAGTAGGCCAATTTCGATGAGTCCTTGTAGCTATGTATTGGCCTGATGCCTTTATATCTTTATTTTGTGTGTGAAATAATATTTAAGTGCGCCATTCCTGGGCACTGTATGCCTCCATGCGGTTAACCAGCCGATTCTTCTTGTGCCCACGTTTGGCATGAAGGGCGTTCCCCATTGGCGTGTATTTATGACGCCACCTCGGAGGGCGGGGCCCGGGTCGTACGTCAATGAGCAACTGGACTCAGGCGACGCGGCAAGAGCCCGGCCAGCGTCTGGGCCCGTCCTTCATTGGCAAATGGAAGTCCATTCACTACTTGGAGCAAGCCCACTCGGCCTATGACGCGGCACCTCACACGGCGACGTCACGCCGACGCCCATTCCTGAAATGGCTGCGGGGCGAAGAAAGTGTGGTATCCCGCGATTATATACATAGTGACACCTGACAACGGTCGACGTGATGTTGGCAATGCTGTACCTCGGGCAAGCAGGCAGATCTCAAGCGTACGTTGATGGTGTAATCAACGACGCCGTTTTTGAGCACATAACTTGCCAATAACTGTGCAATCGATAATATGCAAATGCGCATTGCTGCGTGCTATATGCCTACATGGACTTGAAACAACTGGTTCTACTTGAAGCCCATGCTTGTCTTGAAGCCCAATTACAGGTGGCCTTTAAAACCGTGTACGACGTGATTACCTGCGACGCCACAAGTTGTTACATCAATGGCCGAAGCTTGGCTGTGAAGACCTGGGCCCTCGAGTCCATTTTCTTTAATAAATGAAAGCTCATTCAACCTACGTCATAGCTACCTGATTTACCAGTGATGTCACTCTCGAAGCCCATTCCTGATGAAGAACAAGGTCCTGATGAGCTTCTCGTCGTCTAAATTCGCCAAGTCGGCTCAGCGCGCACTCCCGCGAGGACCCGGGACGCCAGCCGCCTCTAAACGGGGCTGCTGGCCCATCAGACGGCTGGGGGCTCCGATTGGGTCCGCTCGGCTTCGGTCGGCTCCGATCGGCTCTGGTCGGCTCCGCTCGGCCCCGGTCGGCTCTGTCGGCTCCGGTTGGCTCCGCTCGGCTCTGGTCGGCTCTGCTCGACTCCGGTCGGCTTTGGTCGGCTCCGCTCGGCTCCGCTCGGCTCTGGTCGGCTCCGGTTGACTGTGCTCGGCTGCGTTGGCTCCGGTTGACTGTGCTCGGCTGCGTTTGGCTCCGGTCAGCTCCGCTCGGCTGCGTTCGACTCCGGTCGGCTCCGCCCGGCTCCGTTCGGCTCTGGCCGGCTCCGGTCAGCTCCGGTCGGCTCTGGTCGGCTCTGGTCGGCTCCGGTCGACTCCGGTCGGCTCCGGTTGACTGTGCTCGGCTGCGTTCGGCTCTGGTCAGCTCCGCCCGGCTCTGTTCGGCTCTGGCCGGCTCCGGTCAGCTCCGGTCGGCTCTGGTCGGCTCTGGTCGGCTCCGGTCGACTCCGGTCGGCTCCGGTTGACTGTGCTCGGCTGCGTTCGGCTCCGGTCAGCTCCGCTCGGCTCCGTTCGGCTCTGGTCGGCTCCGGTCAGCTCCGGTCGGCTCTGGTCGGCTCCTCTCGGCTCCGCTCGGCTTCATTCGGCTCCAGTCGGCTCCGCTCGGCTCCGGTCGGCTCCGGCCGCCGCGGGGTGCGGCGCGGCGTCAGCTGGCGGGCCGCCGGTGCTGGCTGATGAATGGGTCGCCGGTGGCCAGCCAGATTGCCTCACTGAGGATAGATCAGGCCGGTCGGCCGGCGTCGCGCCGTCGCCGCCCGGCCGGCCGGCGGCGCGACCTGTCAGAGCCACTGCACCAGCCGCCCGCTGACGGGGACCGCGCCGATCAGGCCGCCGGTGGCGCCGGCACCATGTCACCACTGCCCCATACTGGTGCCGCGCCGGTGCAGCTGCTCAACTGATGCTGAGCACTAACCACCTGAGCTGCAGCGCACAGAACCGGCTGGTAGAGTGCTCATCTACAGTGACCCGCAATGTAATGCTCAGAAAGAGAAACATGTGCACGGGCAATCAATAACGTGAACGTGTGAGCCTGTCGCACACTGGGGACATCCACCCTCCTTCAGTCATTCTCATTTCATTCTGCATTCTGGCGACGCCTCGTTGGCCCAGGTTGTCACATGCGGCAGTCATGAGTGGGCTTAGTGTCCCCAGGCGTGACCATGTCCGAGCACCGAGCACGTTTAGTGTCCCCAGGCTTGGCCATGTCCAAGCACCGAGCACGTTTAGTGTCCCCAGGCGCGGCCATGTCCGCTATGACGCGGCCATGTCCGCTACACTGTGATGTGTAAATACCGTCAACTAGCAAGTGCACTTTTCCCGAGTTTTTAAAAAAATAGTTTTAAAGATTCATTGGAAGCTACAAACGAACAGTTTGTAGTTTGGTCATAAGCTTTGGAATCTGAGTATAACTAAGGAACTGAGAAAAGAAAGCGTTTCTGGTGCTAATCACCGAAGCCGCATGTGTAGCGATGAGATTTCGAAAATGTGATGTCTCCTTCCTAACATAGTCAGATGATGTGAAAGATAAAATTGGTTTTAAAAGTGGGCACCCTGGCCAATTTTTGGGCACAGCCTGTCGCAAGATGAAAGGCGAACATTCTAAAAAATGATATCATTCACATTATCACGACATCATCACAAAAATGTTATCACCTTGAGGCGCTGAGGACGACAACAGTCGGCGGCAGAGAACTGAGACCAGAGCCGAGCCCGGCGTGCTGAAGACTCCTACCGGGACGACGACAGTTGGCGGTGTCGAATTCAGGTCAGAGGTATGGCTGGCTGAGCGTGATCCTGCCAGTCTATATTGGCCTTGACGGTAACGACTTTCCATCTCGGTTGGTGAGTTTTAACCTTGATGAACGGTTCCTGTGTCAAGTGATAGGAAAATGGCAGGTTTTTTACAAGCCAGAGCGGCGCTGTGCTGCTGCACTAGGTCAGGCAGCGTGGTAACTGACATGAGCATCAATGTTCATCATAAGGAATATGTAAAAGTATATGGTAATGAATCCCGACACCGCTGGAAACTCATACCAATGGGTTTGAATAATGCGTGGAAGTCCATTATCCATGAGCGTACAGCAGCCATTGACGGCGCGAAAATTTCAGAAATTAACACAGTTCGGACATCCACTGTCTATGAGCCTTGTCAGGCTTGGCAATTTCAGCCGACGGAATCAGTCACTTTGCAATTTTCTATGGCTTCAGTGACTGTTACCAAGGTATTTCGACAAATTGGCCTCACGTCCATGTCATTATCATG